TTCTTTCATTCTGCTTGGTAGTTTAGTTGGATTGTTTTAGCATAGTAAAGAGTTTGTTGATTGAAATATGTTTGACTTTGAGTTGACTTATTTTTGTTAATAAATTCTTGTATTTTACAAAATTGTGTGAATTCATTTAGTGTGTACAGAGTTTGCTGTTCAATAATGTCTGAGCTTGGCTCATCCCTTTCAATTTTGTCCTAATACCACCACCTTATTGGGCTGGTATTCACAGGATAACCCTTAACAGACCGAAATATCATTTAATAAAATATTATGTTATTAATATTAAATATTAAATGATATATTCATATTCATAATCAACACTATCAATACAGTATTTGGGCTGTTATTCCAGCTATACTTATATGTCAAGAGAAAAGAAATATAATCTCACAACCTTTCAAATTGCTGCCAAACCAAGATTTCAACAGACCACAAAGTCAAGAGCTAGAACAAGCCCAGGTTTTTTCATTTAAGCTATGATGATGACAGAATGCATGCATTCCTTTAATATTGGGCCTCCAACAAACATAGGAGAACCTACAAGATGTAACAGGCTGACCACACAGTGCGCATGCAGCAGACTAATTGGTTTCTGCCTTTCCAGAAACTCTTATTGCAACTCATTTTGGCATTAAATCACTAAAGTTTATCTTTAAACTCAATTTACAGCAATCACTTAGTGTTAAAAAACATTGTTTCCTATTTCTATAATAAAACCATATTTAATTTAAGTTTCTTGGTTAAAACGCAGCCTTGCGAGGTTCCCAGTTCATAAAAATATTACCGTCACCCAAATTATTTGTTGCTTCTAATGCTTCTAATTCGTACTGTCAGGTTTGCCTGCAAGTTCCATTTGGCAAGATCTAAATTATAATGTTATATAAAAATACTTTTCCTTTTTGAAACTTGTGTCTATGAGGACCAGAATGAAAGCTTGATGTTGGAATATGGAACAAACTAAAAGAGCTTGAAGTTCAGTTAATTAAAACACAACAAAAAAACACTCAGAATGGGACATCACAAAGCTTGACAAAACTAGAACGAACATTGGCAAAGTAATAGCACAGGGACAAAATAAAGAAAGAAAACCAGGGAGTATTTCTGCTGGTTGGTCATCACTTAACAGGAAATAAGTGATCATTGGCGGCTATCACTAGGTATGAGGGGAATCAAGATAAACTAAGTGTGCAGACTAGAAGAACTAAACAAGCTTATAGCACATTTCACAAAAGCAACAAACCAGAATACCAAGATCATCTTAAAAAGTATTAAGACGTTTGCAAAAAGCAATAAAATAGCAAGTAGAAAACACAAAAAACAAAAACATGCTGTAAAAATCTATAGATCCCAGAATTCGCCTCTGTTTCCAGAAGACTTTGTGAAGACTAGACTACCCTAGACCAAGACCATTGATACCTTGGAGTTACTCCACCCTCACCCCCAAAAAAGCGCTTAAAAGGGATCCTGACAGGTTAAACTAAGTAACTAATAGTTGGACAGTTTGGTTTGAGACCTTTATAGAGTTTAAACAGGATCAGAGTACAATATAAAACTTTAGCAAAGCTTACAAGATACCAAAACCTTATGAGCACTGGGCAGTGAAGAAGAGCTGCTCATTTTTACATTATGGTTTGGATTCCTTAGTGGCACAAAGAGAAGCTGATTTCTCAACTCCTTTGATGCTTAGTTCATTTCATGGATCATAAATGTTTTGACATATCAGTAAAATACTTTTTTTAAATGATGGTGATGGTCTTTGCTTTACTTATTCTATTTATCAGTTGTGAGCAGTACCAAGGCCAGTACTGGCAACATTACATCTAATTCTGTTAGTTTTACTGCCACTAATATCATAAATACACTAATATCATAAAAACAGTAATACAGCTTATTATTGCTAAATATGCAGAAGGCACTATTACTTATGTAATTACTGTTTTGTCCTCTTGCCAATGATTACAACCATAGGAAAAAATATTATATTCATTTCTGCAACGCATCATATAGCCCATTTTATCTCTCATTTCAGGAGATGACATTGTTACTGCTGTGAAACATGCTTCTATACCAGTGAGACCTGTTTTTACCCCACACATTTTTAGACTAATAAGCACCAGTTGTTTAATTCCTTGAATTTTGTCTATCCCTGTAAAATAAAAATAAAAAATAAAAAAACATTTACAAAATAGTTTTTAGAAACTAATGCACCCCTATTCTCAATCTAAAACCTGGGTGCAAGAAATGCTCTTGTGGCCTGATGCTGTTTGGTGGTTGCTTTTGTGTGGCACTTTGATTCAGCCTTGAATGGTAGTTAACAGGTCAAAACATGAGCAGTTTTGTAGTGCACTTTAAATAATGACTTGTTTGACACATTTTAAAATACCCACTGACAAGGATTAGAGCAGATAAACACTTTAAATGTTTGTATCACACAGGTTATTTTTTTCCCCCACCAAATTGGTTGCAGTGCTAAACTGGTACTAATAACTGGCAATAATACAAGTTCACCACATCAAGGGCAACACACATCAACCGTGTATGATGACAGTTAAAGACTACCTATACTTTAGTGATAAATGACCCAGAGTTGTAGCATCTGGTTGGCAGCTGAGGCAACCAAGGCAAAGGGCCCAGTGATCCTTCAATTGAACCTGTTCTGTGCAGAAACATCAATGTTCCGTTAAAACTATCTACAACTGAAGGGCTGTTATCTGTTTTGTCTCAGCGAGATTCAGTATGATGCATCCATTGTGAGTTAAAGGCATCACCTGATGCAACGCTACATGGTTCTCCCAATGTGGGCTCCCATTTACCTTCCTGCTGTTTGTTTCATTATCACCTGGGTTATATAAAAATGTAGAGCCATGCATTACATACAGCTTTGCTCACAGTAACTAGTTAGAAACTCAGTTTGTGGCTCCATTCATAAAAACTGATGAGCCTTGGAGTTCATAAAGGGCTGCATGGTGGTGCAGTTGGTAGCACCGTTGCTTGTCAAAAAAAGGGTCCCTGGTTCGAATCCTGGCGTAGAGTCTTTCTGAGCATATGTGGGTTCTCTCCCGGTACTGGTACTTCACTGTCCAAGAACATGACTCTAAATTGCCTTGAGGTTATGAATGGGTACATGTTTGCGGGTCCTGTGATGGACTGGTGACCTGTCCAGCAAGTACCCCGTCTTTAATTCAAGGAGCCGTGGGGATAAGCACCACTGGTTTTCTGCTGTTTTTATAAAACCAGTTAAGACCTAGAACTAATTTGATGAAAAAGAAAAACATGTCACTGACCATCAACTGTTTGTGTGCCATATCTGTTCTGAAAAGAATACCCTACCCATCCAGCTTCAAATTAATACATAATAAATAAATCACAAACTATGAGTCTAATGATGGTAAACAAATAGGAATAAAGAGGAAGTCAAACAGCTTGAGGGCTGGTGCAAAGACAACAACCTGGTACTCAATGCAGACAAAACTATAAGGATGATCATCAACTTTTAGAGGTCATGTCCTGAGCATACATCCCTCAGCAATGCCAACTTTTAAGCAGAAAGAGTGGAAAGAACTAAACTCTTCAGAGTGCAGATCTCTGATGACCTCAGTTGGTTTATGGACACCTCTGGCATCATGAAGTGCATCCAGCAGAGACTACAGTTTCTGGGGAAACAAACATCTCTTCCTACTAGTATCCTAACAGAGCTCTGGTGGAAAGTGTGCTGAGATACCTCATTTCAGAGTGTTACACCTGCTTCCAGAAGACGTACTGTAAAAGAGGGCCCTGACGAGGATAGTAAGGAAATCTGAAAAGGTCATTAGAGAGTCCCTATCTTATAAAATAAAATAAAATAAAATAAAGAAAAAATGTTGCAACATTTAAAAATTAAAAGACCAAACACTTTCGTATTCTGACAATAAAGTCTGAAATGAATAAAACAGGCAGTGATATGGGAACAATGACAAATAGAAGTTTGTTATCTGCTCTCTCTGCTTAGGATAAAAATCCGGTTCTTCAGCAAATGCTGGCGATGACCTCTGGATAAGAGTATCACCTTGTCTGCCTCAAGAGCTTCCTCTTGTCAAAGATCTCTGAAAGTTCCCCCTTCTCCTGTTTCACTGTCTGTCTTATCTTGTTTGTTGCTGCCTAGTTTCAGAGCACACACACAGAGTAGGATACAAGCTCACACAAATACAGAGATACACACACACATGCACTTTTTCCTTTCTTGCCCTTGCCTGAGGGTCTAAGTTTGATTCATGCCCTTTGTCAAAGTTTGAGAGGGTCTCAAAGAAATAATGGTGTGACTTCCCTGGGATGGTGGGACCTTCTTTAATTGGTGTCTTTTCTTGCATGTACATCACATTCACCCTTGTTCACCAGAAATCACACATCAAAGGATCTAAAAACTCCTTTACTGCTGTGTCAACTTGAGGTTCACACTGCTTATTGTCAGATAAGCCTCTCACATAAAAAAATGAAAAAAAGAAAGACAGAGAACAACAAATTGGACCCAGCCAACTTTGTGTTTGTAGGCTACTGTACTCAGCATTCAGTGTGTCAACCCTTTGAGGTTGTTGAAAAACTTTTGTATTCAACACACCCACTGTAATGGCTGCAGGGAAATGGTGTTATGCAAAAAAACAGTTTCCTCTAGTTATTACACACATTTTTACTTGGAAAGTTTTAAAGTAGTTCCATTTAAAAGTAGTTTAGGGCTTTTTTGTGAAACAAGACAGTCATCCTGCTCGTTATATAAGTTATTGCGACTTGACGCATGCCCTTTACTCTCACAGGCTCTCAAAGCAAATATTGTTGTATAGCAGCATGTTTAGATAGTATCATTACCAAACCTCCAGAAAAACAGGATAGTTATGATACTTAGTCATCAGGTAAAGTTACTTTTTATCAATCTTTTGATGAACAAAATTTTAAGTTCTTATTTGTAACACTGGTATTTTACTTCTATCATTTTGTAGACATTGATGGTTCTCAGCATGAATGTAAACATTTTAGATTTCATCATGTTACAGCCACAAACCTCAATATACTTTATTCAGATAGTACGGTCATATTCAATAAATTTGAATATTATTGAAAAGCTTCATTTATTTCAGTAACTCAATTCACTATGTGAAACACATTATATAGATTAATAAAACACAGAGGGATGTTTTCAAACCTTTATTTCTGTTTATGAGGGTTTTCTGCTTATAGCAAATGAAAACACGACATTTAGGATTAGAATATTACACCAGACCAATAAAAAATCATTTTAATTACAGAAAAGTAGACTTAATGAAAGCTATGTTAAATACGTAGTTGAAGGTTGTTATATTTAAAAAGTAGTTTTAATTTGACAGACTCAGTCTTAGTGGAACATATATTCTCTTTCATGAATTATGACTGTATGTGTTAGACCAACACAATGTAGTGCATAATCGTGAAGTGGAAGATAAAAAGTCTCAAATGGTTTTCAATTTGCTTTACAAATAAACATTTGCAAAATATAAGGTGCATTTTTATTCAATCCACTGGAGTCTACACTTTGTAGAAACACCTTTTGCTGTAATTACAGCGCCAAGTCTTTTGGGGAATGTGTACCATCTTTGCAGATCTGAAGACTGAAGGTTTTGCTTAATCTTCTGTGGAAATAGTTCATTTGCTCAGTCAGATTGGATGGAGAGCACCCGTGAGCATCAAATGTCACGTTACGCAACAGATTCGTAATTGGATACAGGCCTGGACTTTAACTGGACCATTATAACAAATTAATATGCTTTGATATACACAATTCCCATTGTAGGTCTGGCTGTATGTTCAAGGTTATTGTCCCCTCAGCTCTAATCAACTTATCTGTCCCTGCTGAAGAGAAACATGGCCACAGCATGATGCCGACACCACCATGTTTCTCTGTGGGAAAGGTTTGTTCAAGGGGATGACTACTAGTGATACTTGTTGTCTGCCTCATATAGCGTTTTGAATGTGAGCCATAAAGTTCAATTTGGGTCTCATCTGACCAGAGCACCTTTTTCCATGTATTTGACGTTTCCCACCTGAGCTATGGATCTCTGCAGCTCCTCTGGAGTAACCATAGGCTTCTTACCTATCTGATCAATGCCATCCATACAAGGCCTGTCAGTGTAGGTGGATTAACATGTCTTAGTAGGTCGGTAGCTGTGCAATAGACTTTCAGATTTCAAATGGTGATTGAACAGTGCTCTGTGAGATGTTCAAAGATTGAGACGTTGTTTAATAATCCAACCCCGCTTTGAATTTCTTTTATGTTAAAACAGTACATTACTGATGACTTGTGAAGTCACTGGACTTTATTTAGGTGTATCCGATCAAAGGAGGCTGGGCACTTAAAAACATATTTCCCCTCCACTTTCTTTTCCAATGTGCTGTGATGAACTACTTTCTGTTCATCTATCACATAAAACCTCAATAAAATACATTATTTTTGAGGTAACATGCACAATGACAAAACATGAAAGGGTATGAATACTTTTGTAAAGCACTGTTTGTCATGTGATACCATGTGACCGCCCTAAATGGTGAACTTACCAATCAAACTGCAAACCCAACTAACTGATTGGGTAGACAATTACATACCTCTTAAAAAAAGCTCTTAAATAACGGGGAACACATGTCTTCTACCTGATGGTTTAATTCATGCGATGTTCTACCTGTCACCGGCTCAAACAGATGGCCGTGTTTTTATCTACTCAGGTGTGAAATTGCTGTTGTATTTGGCAGATCATTATGGGTTAATGCACTCCCCAAGGCCCCACTTCCGATCTCTATGCACCTCAGTGGCTACCATGAGTGGTCCGTATCACAGACCGAGCACTAATTTCCCCACGTTAGTGATAATGCAAGATTTGTGAGGGTGCTTGTGTGCAGGAATGTGTTCAAATGTGGAAACATGACAGCAAACCACCCTGATGGGTCTGTCCAAATGGTCGTAACTCCTCAGTGGTCATACTGGCTCACTTAGTGATTCTGGCAAATACAGAGAACCGTGATTTTTTTTTTCCTCCTCTACAGTGAGAGTGATAGAAGTGGCCATTAAACAGCAGATTTGTTTTAGGGACCAAATAGCTGCTACACCTGCCCACCTTGCAGAGCTCACATCTCATTCTGCAGACCAGGTTGCAGTCATCTGGTCACCCAGTCTCATCTGTGCATTGATCGCTCTGTTTTAGATCCTCTTTCATCTATAAATAATGTAGTCATCGGCAGAGTGCAGTCCCTCAGAAACACCTCTTGTACCAGTGTTGTGGAGGCAGTCAGCCTTGCAGGGTTGGCCATGTCTCTATATGAAAGTAGTTTTATAGACACTACTCTGTCTTTCTCCCCTCTCTCCTGATTTCAGCTATGTCTCAGTGGAAGATGATTGTGCATTTGGATTCAACCCACTCATTCTCCCAGGCTGCTCATGTCTTGAATCTCCTCATACTTATCCTATGATGGCTTTTAATTAGATCACAACAGCCTCTTTTTGGGCATGTGTGATTTTTTTGTTAATCAGACAGTGAGTGAGGATGTTGCTGTCATGTCCTGCCTAACTCTTTGATACTTTACTGTAACATACATAATAGCATCTTTGACTAACTGATCTAACTTGATGTTTATTTGCTCTCATTTAATTAATGAGTTACAATACTGTCCAGACTTGGCCACTTCATAGCTTAACAGCAGTAATTAGCAACATTTAGTTACCCAAGCCTGATGAAATAAATACATTGCTATATGGTATCTATAGCTCTTTCATTCATAAAGTATAACAACCTCACTTTTCCAATTATTCACATACAATCAATAGTACCAGCTTCCTCCCAACATGAAATCAGTTCTTTTTTAACAATTATATTCACTTTTTTAAGTTGATGTTGATGATATTTTGTATCTGTAAGGACTGGCAATTTTATTTTGAAGAATTTTCTTGTGGCTGCCCGGTAGGTGAAAGTGCAAAGGGTGACACCCTAGACTTATATGCAAATGCACTATTTACACCCTCACACATACAAGAAAACA